TTAATATTTGAATATTAAAGTCTTTCTGGGCTCACGCCTGAGGGGCCACCACCTGGACTTTAATCTTTACTATGCAGCCTGGGACTTTAATATTAAAGTCCCAGGCTGCACATTAAAGATTAAAGTCTCAGCCGGGACTTTAATCATTAAAAACTTTAATATTTGAATATTAAAGTCTTTCTGGGCTCACGCCTGAGAGGCCACCACCTGGACCCACCACCGAGATTTTAATCTTTAATGTGCAGGCTGGGACTTTAATATTAAAGTCCCAGCCTGCACAATTAAGATTAAAGTCTCGGCCGGGACTTTAATAATCAAAAACTTTAAAATTTGAATATGAAAGCATTTCTGGGCTCACGTCTGAGGGGCCACCACCTGGACTTTAATCTTTAATGTGCAGGCTGGGGCTTTAACATTAAAGTCTCAGGCTGCACATTAAAGATTAAAGTCTCGGCCGGGACTTTAATAATTAAAAACTTTCATATTTGAATATTAAAGTCTTTCTGGGCTCACGCCTGAGGGGCCACCACCTGGACTTGAATCTTTAATGTGCAGGCTGGGACTTTAATATTAAAGTCCCAGGCTGCACATTAAAGATTAAAGTCTCGGCCGGGACTTTAATAACTAAAAAACTTTAATATTTGAATATTAAAGTCTTTCTGGGCTCACGCCTGAGGGGCCACCACCTGGACTTTAATCTTTAATGTGCAGGCTGAGGCTTTAATATTAAAGTCCCATGCTGCACATTAAAGATTAAAGTCTCAGCCGGGACTTTAATCATTAAAAACTTTAATATTTGAATATTAAAGTCTTTCTGGGCTCACGCCTGAGAGGCCACCACCTGGACCCACCACCGAGATTTTAATCTTTAATGTGCAGGCTGGGACTTTAATATTAAAGTCCCAGCCTGCACAATTAAGATTAAAGTCTCGGCCGGGACTTTAATATTAAAGTCCACTAGCACATTAAAGTCCACACCGGGGGGCGCCAAATAGTACTATTCTACCTTCGTACCCCCCCCCCCCACCCCCCCCCCCCCCCCCTCAAGCGTAACAGCCGTAGCTGTGCCACAGTTGGTTTGCTTTCACGTATTTCCAGACCTGTTATTCGGAAGTTCCCTGTTTCGAAACACAGCCTTTGTTTCGAAACACAGCCCCTGTTTCGAAACATGGATGTCACAGCCACAACTGCTTCACAAAACGATATCCAATCTCACCTTGGTTCCAGCGCTATATCTGAAGGTTGCGATGTCACATGTGCGAGTAAAAGGATATCTGCTCATAGTATTCTCGCGTCCCCGGGGCCTACAGGACATGTCTTGATGATGTGGGTGCTAATAATGTAGGGTTATAAGGTTAAAAATCCTATAGAGTTTAGCGTTATGACCCTAAACCCTATATGCTTTAAGGCTTAAGGAAAACAGTAAAGTGGTTAAATCACTGAGGGTCTAGGGTTACGTTTTTGCAATGCCCTAACCTTAAACTCTAAACCTTTAACCTCTTATAGGGTTTAAACCCTAAAGGGCTAACCCGGTAGGGTAGATAAACCCTGACCCGAAAGGGGCCCTATAGGGTTTAAGGCTTAACTTAGTTTGAATGCCCAAACTTAAATTTAAATCCCCAGGCCTTAAACCTCTGAAAACCTTATAGGGCTTAAAGGCTTTAATGCCTAAACCTGATGTATTTAAGGTCTGGGCATTTATACATTCAGCATTAGAACCCTAAACCCTTTATGCTGTAAGGCTTAAGGAAAACAGTAGGATTTAAGCCTCAAGGCCTATAATATAAGGTTATAAGGTTCTAACCCTATAGAGTTTAGCGTTATAACCCTACAGCCTATATGCTTTAATTAAGGCTGAAGGAAAACAGTCAAATGATTAAATCCCTGAGGGTCTAAGGTTACGTTTTTGCAATGCCCTAAACCTTAAACTCTAAACCTTTAACCTCTTACAGGGTTTAAATCCTATAGGGTCAAACCTTTAAAAACCTTATAGGGCTTAAATGTTTTAATGCCTAAACCTGATGTACCTAAGGTGTGGGCATTTATACCTTCAGCGTTATAACCCTAAACCCTATCTGCTGTAAAGCTTAAGGTAAACAGGCGGGTTTAAGTCTCAAGGCCTATAATATGGGGTTGTATCAAAACCCCGCGCAGTCGATTTTGAAAGGAATTGCCCGAAGCGTTTGGGGCAGTGCTTCGGACTCGTAAAACGATAATCAAGAAAATAAACCGATAACTTTGTAGTAACAGGGCGGGCAGGCGCTATTCCAGTGATAAGCTTGTACTACAAATACATGAAAACACTGAAAACCCAGCCTGCTCAGCTTGCACTACAAATCAACGGAAACCTAGCCGGTTTCAGTACTAAGCTTGTACAACAAATCAATGAAAACCCAGCCCGCTCACGGGAACATCGGTTCCAAATTGTTGGTTCTTCCAGCAAACTCTGTAAAACGATAATCAAGAAAATGAAACGATAACCCTGGGACGGATGAATAGATTTAACTCGGGGTTTTTATACAACCCCATATAGGGTTATAAGGTTCTTATCCTATAGAGTTTAGCGTTATAACCCTAAACCCAAACACTATATGCTTTCAGGCTTAAGGAAAACAGTAAAGTGATTAAATCCCTGAGGGTCTAGGGTTACGTTTTTGCAATGCCCTAAACCTTAAACTCTAAACCTTTAGCCTCTTATAGGGTTTAAACCCTATAGGGCTGCACTATAGGGTTTAAGGTTCAACCTAGGTTGAATGTCCAAACCTGGATTTAATTCAACCTTTAAAAGCCTTATAAGGCTTAAAGGTTTTAATGTCTAAACCTGATGCACCTAAGGTCAGGGCATTTATACCGTCGGCGTTATAACCCTAAACCCTCGTACATCTGCTTTGCACTCGCAACAAAATCAACTTCATCCAAAACACCGCATCACATTCAAAAAAACTCCGCCTCACAACAGTCCCCTCTCAAACCCTAAACCCGAAACTCTAAACCCTAAACCCTAAACCGAAGGCTTTTGTGTCGGGAACCGCTGCTGCAGCTGGAGCCTCGGAGTCCGCTTGTGTTCCTTTTCTGCAGCTGATTCTGCAGCACACAGTCGGTTTAGGGTTTAGGGTTTGGGGTTTAGGGTTTAGGGTTTAGGGTTTAGGGTTTAGGGTTTAGGGTTAGGGCCTCTTCAGACTCCTCAAGAAAGTCACCGTCAGAATGCCGTGGCATCTGGACAAGGCATTTCCTCGAAACGGGCAACACCAGCTTTGGTAGCCGCGGAAGCTGCCCCAAACCCTAAACCCTAAACCCTAAACCCTAAACCCTAAACCCTAAACCCTAAACCCTAAACCCTAAACCCTAAACCCTAAGCCTTAAACCCTAAACCCTAAACCCTAAACCCTAAACCCTGAAAACGCCCAAAAAGCTCCGGAGGTGACGCCTGTGGAGCACATTGGCGAGGCGATGTCGTCAACCTAACAACCCTCAAACCCCTAAACCTCTCAGGGCCATCTGGTGTGTCAAGGGATTCAGGCTCGTACTTGTGGGTTTAGGGTTTAGGGTTTTGGTGTGGGTTTAGGTTTGAGTGTGTCAAGGGATTAAGACTCGTAGCCCCAAGGTTGTACCCCTAAAGGTTCCCCCTAATATACTCCCAATATGGCCCCTGATACCACCTTCAGGATCTGCAAAAAGGGTCCACAAGGGTACAACCTCAAGGGTCCCAAGTACAACCCCTAAATGGTGTGCCTCGCAGGCTGGGCAGGAAGTGGACCTGCCTTCCCCCGGGCCGATCACTTCAAAGCTGAAGGACAGGGTGGACCTTGGACCCTGGACCCTAAACCTCTTGACACCCCTAACCCCCCTAGGAGCTGGAGCGCCCCCCGGTTCGGGGTTCAAGCTGAGCGTCGGGGTTTGGGTAGAGTTGTTTGGGGTTTAGGGTTTAAAGGGTGTTCCTTGTGGCTTCCTCTGTATGTGTGTGTGTGTGTGTGTGTGACCTTTGGATTTGGGGGTTTAGGGTTTAGGGCTCTGGACCCTCTCTTCTGGGGTTCCCCTCACCCCTGCTCTCAAGTGGGAGCTTGATTGTATCTTTACCCTCAGCCCTCAGCCCGGCGAGCCACTGAGCTCCAGAAACCCTTCTCTCTTGGCTCGACTCCATCGTTCCAGTCTCGCAGCTTAGCCGGGTAACTAGGGGACTCCAACAGGTAGCGAGACTTGGCGAAGGGTTACGGAGTTTGAGGGTTTAGGGTTTTTGGGTTTCGGGTTGAAGGTTTTCAAGTCTAAAGCTTAAAGTCGGGACTTTCCCTCGTATACTAACAGTCCTTTATAGGGATTCTAGTACCCCCTACTAGAATCCCAAGGACTGTTAGAATAAGGGGAACATCCCAAGTTTAAAGGGTGTTTTTTCGCGAAGCCAAAGCGATGGATGCAGCGGCCTCCCAAGACGCGAAGAGCCTCAGCGAGGTTCTCTTGCAGCCCGGCTGTGCTTGGAGGTCTCGGGGTCTGGAGTTTCGGGTTTAGGGCTTTAGGTTTTTTTTGGGTTTTTGGGTTTTAGGGTTTTAGGGTTTGAGGGCTTTAGGGTTTTCGGGTTTTCGGGTTTTAGGGTTTTTTGGGTTTGAGGCTTTACGGTTTTAGGTTTAGCGCCTAAGTGTTCGGGTTTAGGGTTTGGGGGGCTAGTGCAGTTATTGTCATGTGGCGATGTGCCGGCTGGGTGTCCGGAGCGGATTGCTCCCGGGGTCCATGCCAGTCGACTTCGGTCTTCATAGCCGAAGCCTGCTATGCACCGCACCTACTACTTGCTTAAGAACTTCCCCCAAAAAAGATACTCCCCATATTGCCCTCATAAAGAAAATGATTTTTTGTTTGATTTTTGGGGGAAGTTCAATACCCCAAATTTACCAGAATCAGGGCCAGAAGGAGTAGGTACCCCAATTCTGAGAAAGCACCATTTGGGTTGAGGGTTTGGGGGTTTAACAGTTTCATGATTCAGAAGCCAAATAGGTTCCAATCAGCACACGATGCCGATCGCAAGGAGACCTCCGCTTTACTGGCTCTTCCACTCCTGGCGCCTCTTTGGCTGCTCGGATGCACGACAACCTGAGAGACAAATCCCCCCAAAAGCCCGTGCAGCCTCTGATGCTCTATGTGTCCCTCTTGGGACGCGGCCCAAGAAACGCCTGCAGTGTAGAACGCTGCCCACAATGCAACCTCCCTCAGCTACCTGGCTCAAGGTTACATCGCCCTCGTCCCGCCTCTGCTGGTCTACCAGCCTCTGGGGACCCTTGCTGCCTTCGCCGCCTACGCCGCCGTCCATCGCCAGCGCTGGTGGCAGCGAAACGTGCACAGGCAGCTTTCGCAGCTTTCGGCTTCCAGAGACTTCCGGTCTTTCGTCAGCTGGCACTTTCATGCGCATCTGATGCGCATAAATGGGAAGGACCACGAGAGATCAGCAGATGACAGGGATCGACGTACGCGCGACACTCCAGCCCGATCTGTTGTTCTGTTTTGACCCGGCCCTCACCCTTCCCTGTGGGCTGATATCCGCAGTGAGTCCTTAGAAGCCTTCACCTAAGTGTTGGGCTTTGCAGGGCTGTTGGCTTTGGAGCATCTCGCCGACATCGCTTCGTAAACGAGCACACGGATGTGTCGTGTGGCTGAATGGTGTTGAGTTGACTTGGGACAAGGTTCTGTCCTTCGGGTTTAGGGCTTAGGGGTTACAGACAGCAGATGCCTCTTGTCAGTGTAGTATGAGGGTGTTGGGTAGCTTTGAGCCCCCATGTTCTGACCCATGGCACAGAAAGGTCATCATAGCTGGACCCAAGCAAGGGTGTTCTTTTGGACTTTGGGGCGGCGCAGGGCCTCTGAGCCAAGGATCAAAGCCGACAAGCGGTACCTCTGGTCGCTGCACCCGCACGGGCTGCTTGCAGACGGCTGGCACTCCCTCATCGCTGCCTCGTCTGCAACAGAGGGGCCGGGAAGAATTTCTGTCCATGAAACTACGCCTGCCTTGCCCTTGCCTCCGGCAGTCCTAGGACATGCTCGGCTCGAGTTCAGCTTGCTAGTGAAACCTGTCGAGTTCATGTATCTTCCGGAAGCAATTCCGTATTCTTATCGTACATTGTAGTAATCATAGTGGCTCTGGAGAATTTTCGGTCCCTTTGGGTGCCCAAAGTAAAAAGCTCCATGTTCTGTGGAGAATTTTCGGTCCCTCCAAAGTAAAAAGCTCCATATTCCGACAAGAACCAAAGGGGGCCATCTTGTACAGCACCCTCCCCTCCCCACTCTTCATGAGAGGAGGTCTGGGCTTTAAATGGCTTTAACGCACAACCAGGAACCGCTTTGAGGGCTTACTCTACTCGAAGCCGAAGTTTCCACAAGGACGTTCTCACCCGTTTCTAGGGTAGTAAACACCCGAATAGGGGTGGACCCTGTGAGAAGAACGCTCAGATACAGCACAGCCCAAACTGTCTGGACTTATGCTGGCCCATCCGGAACAGGGGAAACGGGAAGGTTTGCCCCGGAAGACGTCCTGGACCCTCAACCCCACGCGGCCCCGGTGTCGTGTCCCTAAACCCTAGACGCTAAATCTTTTTCGCGGGTCCTGAGAAGGAGAGGGCTTGCAGTATCCAAAGCCTAAACCCTCAGCTCTCAACCCTAAACCCTAAACCCCAACGCCTAAATCCTAAACCCTGCACCCTACACCCCAAACTCTAAACCCCAAACCCAAGCCCTAAACCCTAAACCCAAAACCCTAAACCCCAAGCCCGAAACCCCAGGCGCGGAACTTGGAGTCCTTCGAAGACTCGGGAAACGGTCCGCCTGCCGTGGGGCGAAAGATTGCCCTGTGCTTCTTGGCACCGGTCTCCAGAGTTTAGGGGTTGAGGGTTTGGGGTTTGGGGGTTTGGGGGTTTAGGGGTCTAGGGGTTAAGGGTTTCGGGTTTGGGGGTTTAGGGTACGGGGTTTTAGGGTTGAGGATCATCTTTAGGAAGCATGCTTTAATTCCGTTTATGTGTAGATTCAACTCACTAGACGAAGGCACGAAGGAAGTAGATAAGTAAAACAAAAGCAACCAAGTATGAATACACATGACTACATAGATAAATGAATACAAATACATTAAATATAAATATCTATATATATACATGTACATATAGAAATATATATAGATATGGTACCCCATCCCCGCATAGGCCCACACTTTTGCTATAGTTTTGCCTGCCTCAGGTGCCCTGGCTACACCGGAGGGTTTAGGGGTTTAGGATTTAAGGGCCTCCCAGGGCAAATAGAAACTGCAAAAACGGTGTACTGTCCCAATCTTTTAGTCTCAGACGAGTAAAGACGCTGTACTGTCCCAAAAAACCCCAAAAACCAATCTCTTCAGGGTCTCCAGCTCAAAGATTGGGACAGTACAGTGTTTTTGCGTCTGTGTCCCAAAAAGTTTTGGGACAGTACAGCACTTCAAGCTCTCTAGGTGCAGAAAATGCTGTACTGTCCCAATGTTTTTGGGCCCAGGCATGCAAAAGTGCTGTACTGTCCAAATGTTTTTGGGTCCAGGCATGCAAAAAACGCTGTACTGTCCCAATCTTTTAGGCTCAGAGAAGCAAAAACGCTGTACTGTCCCAAAAAAACCAAAAAACCAACATTTTTGAGGGTCTCCAGCTCAAAGATTGGGACAGTACAGGGTTTTTGCTTTTCTGAGCCTGAAAGATTGGGCCAGTACAGCACTTCAGGCCCTCCAGGTGTCGAACACGCTGTACTGTCCCAATGTTTTTTGGGTCCAGGCATGCAAAAACGCTGTACTGTCCCAAAAAACTCAAAAAAACTAATCTTTTCAGGGTCTCCAGGTCAAAGGCTGGGACAGTGCGGTGTTTTTGCCTCTCTGTCTCAAAAAGATTGGGACAGTACAGCACTTCAGGCCCTCCAGGTGCAGAAAACGCTGTACTGTCCCAATGTTTTTGGGTCTAGGCATGCAACAAAGCTGTACTGTCCCAAAAAACTCAAACAACCCAATCTTTTCAGGGTCTCCAGGTCAAAGATTGGGACAGTACGGTCTCAACAAGATTGGGACAGTACAGCACTTCAGGCCTTCTAGGTGCAGAAAGCGCTGCACTGTCCCAATGTTTTGGGTCCAGGCATGCAAAAACGCTGTACTGTCCCAATCTTTGAGCTGGAGACCCTCCAAAGATTGTTGTTTTTTTTGAGTATTTGGGATAGTACGGTGTTTTTGCTTCACTGTGCTAAAAAGATTGGGACAGTACAGCACTTCAGGCCCTCCAGGTGTCGAACACGCTGTACTGTCCCAATGTTTTTGGGTCCAGGCATGCAAAAACGCTGTAGTGTCCCAAAAAACTCAAAAAAACTAATCTTTTCAGGGTCTCCAGGTCAAAGACTGGGACAGTACGGTGTTTTTGCCTCTCTGTCTCAAAAAGATTGGGACAGTACAGCACTTCAGGCCCGCCAGGTGCAGAAAACGCTGTACTGTCCCAATGTTTTTGGGTCCAGTCATGCAAAAACGCTGTACTGTCCCAATCTTTGAGCTGGAGGCCCTCAAAAGATTGTTGTTTTTTTTGAGTATTTGGGATAGTACGGTGTTTTTGCTTCACTGTCCTAAAAAGATTGGGACAGTACAGCACCCTTAAATAATAGGAATCCTACTAAAATTAACATGAGCCTAAATCAATAGGAATCCCTTTCAAATGAATGAGATCCCTATTAAACATGAATACGAATCCCATTAACATGAGCAAGAGCCCTGCAATTGATAGGAATCTTGTTGCAGGAGTAGGAGCCTTATGAAAATATTTAGGAGCCCTATGAAACTTTATTGGAATCCTATAAGTAGGAACCTTTCATTGAAATCATACGAATCCTATCAAATTTTGTTCTTATAAAAGCTAATAGGAAGCCGATTAGAATGAAAAGGAACCCTTAACAAATCAAAAAGAACGCTTGGTAATTCATAGGACTCCTACTAGACGGACAAGGTTTCTTACTAAGATTAATAGGAAGTAATAGGACTCCTATGAAAGAACAAGATTCCTTTAACAAGAATTAATAGGAATCCTACTAATTGAATATGGGCCTAAACCAAAAGGAATCCTTTTCAAACGAATGAGATCCCAATTAACATTAATACGAATCCCATTAATATGAATAAGAACCCAAAACTTGATAGGAATCTTATTACATTAGTAGGGGCCTCATTAGAATAATCAGGGACCCTATGAAACTTTGTTGGAATCCTATGAAAATTAATAGGAATCCTCTATTGAATTCGTAGGAATCCTGCCAATATTTTTCGGAACCGATAATAGTCAATAGGGAACCTATTAACATGAATAGGAACCCTTAACAAATTAAAAAGAACCTGTTATAATTCATAGGAATCCTGTTAAAATGAGAAGGAATCTGGGCAGCAAAAGAAGTAGTAAATTCTGTTTTTCGTGTGTAAAACACGCTAAAACACGCGAAAACGTGGGCCTATGGGGGGGGGGGGGGTGCATACATATATACATATATACATATATATCTATATATATATATATACACGTACAGCTTATCCCCGCCCCCACGTGAGTATTCACAACAGTATCTCCACAGGGAGTACTTGAAGCCTAGCCCGTCAGCCCTACAAGGCCAAACACCATCCCTTCTTCCCTGAAGATGGTCATCCAAGGCTTTGCCCCGGTGATTCAACATGTGCCGGTTCACCAGGACACACATGTTGCAAGGGTTGCCAGTCAACACCCCAAACCCTAAACCTTAAACCCTAAACACATGGTGGTTCCAGAGGGGTAGGGATAGTAGGGCTTCGGCGGGGCAGCGAGCCTCTCTCTGTTGATCTTCTCAGCCCTAAACCCTAAACCCTAAACGCTAAACCCTAAACCCTAAACGCTAAACCCTAAACCCCCTAAACCCTCAACCCAGCAATAAGGTAAGCTTCCAACTCCACGTTTGCCATGGTCTCCTCTCTGTTTCCGGCCCACGGCCTCCCGCGAGAAACCCACGTTCTGTGCTTGCCTGCAGGAGATGTACCGGGACTTGTGTACGTCCGCCAGTAGGAGGGACATTGTGAAGTCGCTCGGTGGCAGTTTGCAGTGGCGGCTGGGCAGGGTGACAGGAGCAGAGGTACGGTGCATAAAGATACATTTGTGCTTTCATTTACAATAACCATAGATATATGGCGGTTTACGAAAATGGGGGACCCATGGGGGCCCCCAAAATAGACCCCAAATAGCAGGACTCCCTTTTGATATGAACCCCAATAAGGTACCCCAGTTTCGGAAACCATCATATGACGATTAGTATTCGTAGTTTTTTTAGGAAGACCCTTAGGCCCTAGGCCCAGACTCACTTTCCTTCGTGCGCGTGAGGTGGTGGAAGACCTCAGACACGGATCCGGCGCTGATTCCGGGTGGCTTCTCAGAGGAGCGCGGTTTTTTTTTTAGGGTTTCGGGATTATGGGGTTTAGGGTTTAGGGTTTTGGGGTGGGGGGTTTTGGGTTTGAACTGCACTTATGCAGTGAGACAATGGCTAAGTTGGGCTTACAGACAGGCATGGGGCGAGCCTTCTGTGCCTGTTTCAAAGGCCTCTCTGAGAGAGCCTGATACTTATCATTCGGATGTCTTACAAAAACCCTGGGCCCTAAACCCCAAAACGCGAAGCCCTAGTCCGTGCCCTACACCCTAAACCTTAAATCCGAAACCCTAAGCCATACCATAGGGGTGGGAATTATTACTAGCAGTATTCCTTTATGGCCCCTGTGTGATTATGCTACAGTAGCCCCCCCCCCCCCCCAAAAAAAAAACGAACCTACTCGAATGATTAAGGCCCTTACATTGGGATGTCCCCTTTCGACTAACAGTCCTTAGTGGGGATTGTAGTACCCCCCCCAATTATAATCCCTATTCAGGACTGTTAGTATAAGGGGAACATCCCAACCTTTACATGACATCTGTTGAACTCGGGAAGGCCGTGTTCGTGAACTCTGCCGAGCGAAAGTACGAGTACTCGTACCTGAAGGGCCGCACCTTGGGTCTGCCTCAGTCTATAGGTCGGGTTTGGGGTTTAGGGTTTAGGGTTCCTAGAGTTTAGGGTGTAGGGTTCACAGGTTTTTGGGGCTCATGGGCTTTCGGATTTAGGGTCGAGGGCTGGTGCGGTTTAGGGTTCAGGGTTCATAGGGTTTAGGGTCGCGCAGAGGCCTTGCACCCACCCAAGAAGCCTTGTACCCCCCATAAGGAGTAGGGGTATTTGTTGAGACCAAAGCCCTAAACCCTAAACCCTAAACCACAAACCCTAAACCCAATTTCCTTATGATTTCTTCAACATTTTGCTGAGTGTATTTGCTTTGAAAACATGGCTCTCCCACGGCATTTGCAGTACTTAAGTCTCAGTACAATCTGTTCACCTTGCCGAGCGTCTCATCAGGTTCGGAAGGCTTACTTGTGAAGCGACAAGGGAGGCTAATGGTTTAAAATCATCCATGGGCTTCCTGGGTTGGAATGATGTAACAAACGTTCCCGGCTTTTGCCTAGAAAATCTGGCTGACGCTGCTTTGAGGTAAGGGCTTCGTGAGGATCGCTGTGGAGGAGGGGAAGGACATCGTTCCTTGCTACACCTTCCGCCAGAGTCGGATGTATCGCACCCCACGCACACTGCGCGCCGCGCGGGCTCGCTTGTCCCAACAGATTTTCGTGGGCATCATCCCTTTCTTTGGATGGATGGGCACTTCTATGCCTCTCACGGACAAGACGACCTCGGTTGTCTTCCCGCCCTTCCCCGCCTCTGAGTACAAGGCAGACCAGGTAGATGCGGCCCATGCTGCGTACCTTGAGCACCTGAAAAAGTACTTTGACATGTACAAGGGCCGCTTTGGCATGAAGGACGTGGAGCTTGTGCCTCAGCGTGCAGTAGACCCAGAGAAGCAATTGTGGGTTTATTGTTTCGGGTTTAGGGTTTAGGGGGTTTGGGGTGCAGGGTAAGACGCAGACTTCTTGAGCACGGGTGGTGTAATTCGCTGAGTTTCGCCAAATTCTTGCTGAGGTTTGATATGCACGTAGTTATATCGCAAGTCCGGAGATGATCTCGCAAATCCTACCGGCCCCTGTAGTACAAGCATGGTACTGTGACATGCCATTGCATGAGCTCGAACCCTCAACTCTCATTCCTCCATCCCTCAAGCCTCAACCCTCAACCCTCAACCCTAAACCCGAAGCCCTAAACCCGAAGCCCTAAACCCTAAACCCTAAACCCTAAACCCCAAACCCTAAACCCTAAACCCTAAACACTAAACCCTAAACCCTTCTTGCTTGTGTGCCTAGGTGTTCATAGGCAACGACTTTAAGGATGACGACTGGGCGGCACGGGCCCTGCATCGGCTGGGCTTGCTCTCTGCCTACATCAAAAGATGAGGGTTTAGGGTTTAAGGCCCTGAACCCTAAACCCTAAGCCCTAAGCCCTAAACCCTAAACCCTAAGCCCTAAACCCTAAACCCTAAACCCTAAACCCTAAACCCTAAACCCTAAGCCCTAAGCCCTAAGCCCTAAGCCCTAAGCCCTAAGCCCTAAACCCTAGCCCCTTATGGAATACCCTGTCTAAGCCAGCCGAGCCCCCGCAGCACAGGCTCTCGAGCCACGTGGTGGCCACCAAGCCGCACCCGCCGCCGCACTCCCGGCTCTGAGCGCCACCACCATAAGCCCTAAGCCCTAAGCCCTAAGCCCTAAGCCCTAAACCCTAAGCCCTAAGCCCTAAACCCTAAACCCTGAAACTCAACAACTTTTGAACGTTGACCAGATCATTGTCGAAGCGAGGTCGGGTATCGTCGGTATAGGTGTAGTAGAAGTGTTGGGGTGAGAGCGGGGTTGTTGGGTGGTGGGGGAGAACTGCCACCTCGCTGTACCTGCTCATAGCTGAAACTTTTGAAGGGTTCAGATCACACGTGTGGCCCTAGGGGACACACTCGAGCGCCGAAACTGTCTGCCATCTGGCATTCGACCCCAATCATGCAGATATAACACAGCAAAGTACCAGTCTAAGAACAACACAAGACATTACAAACAAAAGAAAGTAGGTGATTGCAGGCGTCATCGCATTGCGTGGGATGCTGATTCGCGGAAGTGTCGTGCAGCCAAAGAGCCACACACACTGCCAAGCCGGCGCAGGGCAAGGAGCCCATCCTCCACTTACAAGGAGATAGGGGTTTCGGGTTTAGGGTTAAGGGTTTTAGGGTTTCGGGTTACGGGTTAAGGGTTTTAGGGTTTAAGGGTTTAAGGGTTTTAGGGTTTAGGGTTTAAGGGTTGAGGGTACTCCCCCTCACTGCCGCCGCCAAATGTCCCAGCTGAACGTGCCATCTGCGCCGGATGTGGTGGACATATGGGCAGTTCTCTGAATTGTGGCCCCTTTCAGTGCCTATAAATTTAAGGTCCCGTATGATACTGAGACAATGGAACACCAAGAAAGGGGCCATAATTTTGATCCACCCCCGTATCACAGGGCAAGGTCAGAATATCTGATAGCTCTGCTCACACGCGGAAAGATTGGGCTTTCTGTCGGTTGACAAGAGGCAGCTGCGCATCCCACCAGGCCATGCGGTTTAGGGTTTAGGGTTTAGGGTTTAGGGTTTAGGGTTTAGGGTTCAGGGTTTAGGGTTTAGGGTTTAGGGTTTAGGGTTTAGGGTTTAGGGTTTGGTTGCAGGGGCTTCCCTCGATTCAGGAGGCCTACTTCGACATTCAGCAGGAGTGCGACTCTCAGACCCAGACGGCCCTCTGAGTGCTGTTTGGGGCACTCGAGACCTGCCAGTCTACCTCTTGTCTTGCACTGTTTGACTTAGGGTTCTAGGGTTCAGGGTTGGGGATTTAGGGTGTGGGGTTTAGGGTTGAGGGTTTTGAAGCACTTTTTGCTCCCTAAACCCTAAACCCAGTTCTGATTGTTTGGGGTTTGGGATTTGGGGTTTAGGGTTTAGGGTTTAGGGTTTAGGGCCGCAAAGTGCAGCTTGCCAAGAAGCCTGGGGAGCGCCGCACACTATAGGGGCCTTCGTAATTAGAGCAGGGCCTTTGGGGGTTTCTTATAGTATCATTCTCAAGAGAACACAAGGGAATATTGTTTGTAATTATTCCGACCCCTATATTAGCAGCTCCCCCCCAAGCGAGTTTGGTCGTTTCAACACGGGGAGGTTGGGCGAGGGGACACCACGCGACTCGCCTGGGTCTGTGCTGTTCGCAATCTGCAAGAAAGTGACTTTCTGAGCAATTACGGATCATGACTGGCGGATGCATGGGCTGTGCTTGCAACACAGGATAAGAACCGCATCGTCCTCTTCCGCGACCTCTGGCACGAGTGTACGGGCTACGGCCCCTTCTATCGGTCGGCGGAGCTGCGGGGGAAACCACAAAGCATGCAGCAAGGGGTGATGTTGGACCCTCTCCCGCACGTGGAATACTGCCTGCCTTGCCAGGCGGCACAGGCGACCGATAGGGCTGCCGAGTATCTCACGCATCTTCTTGGTAACGCGGATCTGATAGTACCCCCGGCAAAGGGACGAGACTTCCATGTCGATGACGCTTGGTTTCTGTTGTAGTCAGAGGTTCCGAGAATGCCGAGGAGTCATTTCAGAGCCGCATGTGGCATGGGGAGATAGTCGAACAAGAAAGCAAGAGTTACAACCATGTGGCACGTGCATGTGCAACTTCTACAACACAGTCCAGGGAGTCGTGGGGTGGAGTGGGGTTTCATGCGCGGGCTTAGGGCCCAAGGCCCTGCGGTGCGTACTCGGGACACTGCCAGAACCCCTATGTCGGCGGATTACGAGCCCATACACAACCCTGAACGCTAAACCCGAAATCCTGAACCCTAAACCCTAAACCCTAGACCCTAAACCCTAAACCCTAAACCTTAAACGTTTATGGTGTAAGGTTTATGTCTGACTCTGAAAGAGAACTCCGCTGAGGCGCCAGCCGGACACTGAGGGATGGCTGGTTGATGCTTTCTCCTAGGCCCTCAGGATATGTTCAGCATATGTTTAGCATACGTCTCTATGTATCTATTCTTTCGGTATACATGTATGTACTATTTAAGTACATGTATGTATATAAATGCATATACAAAAAAAGCAAAATAGATACATACATAAATAAATATGAATAAATCATATTTATGTTTATTCCTGTATTCGGTTCAAGGCTCGTGGGATCATACATAAATACATAAGTAAGCAGATATGTGTAATATGTTTGTTGTTCTCACTCTCCCAGAAGTGTTGGCAGAATCATGTCTTTTAGGAACAGGTGTCTTTATATTATATACACATGTAAATACATGAATATGTCTTATATAATGCATGTGTGTGTATATATATATATATGTACACGCGCCACGCGCCTAAATATTTCTGCATACAAAAATGCGTATATATATATGAGGCAGGAACCTTTATGTATCATTTGACTTCCTTTTGTTGTTTTACTATAGAGAGCTCCACTAATTATATTTAATGCTATGATTACAACTCCTGCTGTTTTTCCCATCATGCTGCACTCTGCAAAGGTATTACGCGATTTGAAAGACCACCCTGGAACCCAAAATTCCCTCCACCCTTTTTTGTTTGCTGAGGCTTCGCCAACCCGTTAAAGTTTCTGCCGTCTCTGCTCCGGCGGCCCCGGACATATACAACGCCCTGGAGGGGCCCGAAACAGACAGGCTAGCTACGGAAGCCAGGTCCCAGCAAGGCCTCAAAAGCTTCCCCAGGAAGGCTTTAGGCCGATAAGCACAAGGCGGGCACGGAAGGCTTCAGGTTTGGGATTTGGGTTTTAGAATGCTTTACACGAAGTGCTTTGTCGTCGCAGCCTTCTGCCCTGCCCTTGGCCTTAAGTAGGGTCACGTGGGTCTGGGCCCAAAGGCTAGAAGTTGAGAAGTTCAAGTATTCAAGAGACCTACAAAAGGGTCGGAGCACGCGGAGCACTCGGGCAGTCCTAGGACTGGGTAGAAGTGGGCCATGTAGAACGCTGCACACTAAACTCTAAACCCTAAACCCTAAACCCTAAACCCTAAACCCTAAACCCTAAACCCTAAACCCTAAACCCTAAACCCTAAACCCTAAACCCTAACCCTAAACCCTATACTTATTCTTATACCCTAAACCCTAAACCCGGTGCTCGGCCCTGTGTAAGCAGGCCCTCTCAGACGTGATCGGGCCTCAGTTTCGTTGAGAGGCCAAGGGTTTAAAATGTGATATTAGGGTTTAGGGCTTAGGGTCTAAGGTATTGGTTTTCAAGCTAGCGGTCTAGGTGTGCCACTTAGCCATGGAGTTTTGTAAGAAGCTCCAGAACAGATTTAGAATTACACCGACTCTTTCTTCACAACCCAAAGCCCTAAACCCTATAAACCCTATAAACCCTATAAACCCTATAAACCCTATAAGCGCTACAAACCCTATAAACACTAACCCTAGAAACCCCATAAACCCCATAAACCCTATAAACCCGATAAACCCTATAAACCCTATAAACCCCATAACCCCCAGGCCCCCCCAGCAACCAGAAGCTTAGGGTCTAGGGTTTAGGGTTTAAAGTTTGAGGTTTAGGGTTTAGGGTTTAGGGTTTAGGGTTTAAGCGGGCTAAGGATGGCTTAGGGGCTCCAAGGCTGAAACTGCCGAGAAGTCACCAAGCGGTTTTTTGAGTTCAGGGTTTTAGGGTTTTAGGTTTAGGGTTTAGGGTTTAGGGTTCAGGGCTTAGGGTTTAGAGTAAGGGCCCCCGAACAAGCGCCCGACTTGAGCAACCGAGCAATGAGGCTCCCAGGCGTCGCCTCCGGGCGGAGAGTGGCTGAGGTTCAGGGTTTGAGGTTTAGGGTTTAAGGTTTGAGGTTTAGGGTTTAGGGTTTAGGGAGAGACGAAGAAGCAGAGAGACGAAGAAGCAAAGAGACGACAAAGCACGGAGACGCAGAAGCACAGAGACGAAGAAGCAAAGAGACAAAGAAGGACGGAGACAAAGAAGCAGGGAGACGAAGGAGCAGACAGAAGTGCCGAGGACCCGGCGGTCGGGAGACCGCGCTTGCGCGGCGGCGGGTACGGTGGCTCTTTCGGGGCCTGGGAAGCGGTGACGCGAAGTCACATCATTCCATGCAAAGTTGCTTCACCAAGATGTATGTTGAAGTCTTTCCCAATGTTCACGCCCCACAGGCGCATGTTCTCGACACACATGCGAAATACGCACATGTTGCCGATTCCCAATAGTGAGGCCGCTGCACTGTTGTTCGTCTCGGACTCAGCAGCCTAAGCGAAGGGTTTCAAGTGCAGTTATATGGACTAAAAGGATGCTCCTTTTTGATGAATAAGTCACATTTAAGGTCTACTTGGCTGAGGCCACTTCCTGGCGCCATTTGGAGGCAACCCGCAGAGTCTCCGCTATGGACTCTTCGTTCTTCTGTCAGAGTTGAGGATTTTACGTTGGCTGGTCTCCCAAACCACATGGACGGTCGTCAAAATTCTATTGATTTATTGAATTCATATCGCAATATACTCTGTTAATACTTACAGTGCCTATAGAAAAATTTTGACAACCGTCAACTTGTAGATTGTGCACGTTGCGCCAGCCTGGTCGTCCTCAGGCGTCCACGGCTGGAACCACGAGGCCTTGCCACCGGCTGTACAAGCGGGTAGGTTAAGTCACATCTCCCCAATGACACGCGGCTGCGAGCGAAGTCACATCATCTCGCATAAAGTCGCATCACAGAGACATATGTTGAAGCCACTCCCCTAATGTGCACGCGCTGCACGCGGTCTTTTTTTTTAAGAACTAAGCCAGATTACAGGGAGCTTTATCGTCCTGCAGTGGCGTAGCACGGGTCAGCTGCACGCAGTTGTGTGAAGACATGCCCACCCCAAGTCCACCCAAACACAAATCACTGCGAAACCAAACCGGAGCCAGCCCAAGCCAAGCCAACCATTCACAACTCAAACATCGAACAGTTCAGAGGACACTTCGGTTAGAAGACTGAGATTGCTTGAGAGATTGGCGATTCGCTAAGGACCTCCCCTCAGGTTTTTGCGCAAGGCTGGGCCAAGGGCCCTCTCATAGAAAACGCCAGGGTGGGATGCCCCTTCAGGTTTGTGCGAAGGTTAGAAGAATGAGAGTGCTTTGGACATTTGCGATTGGTAAGGAACCCCCTAACCTAAAGCCCGAACCCTAAACAGGCCCTAAGTCCTAAACCCTAAACCCTAAACCCTAAACCCATAGTCAAGCGGCGTAAAGCCAAGCTTGTGCAACTGCAGCGGGCTGGCATAGGCATAAGCCCTGAGGCGGAGTAAGCTACTAAACCCTAAACCCTAGCCCTAAACCCTAAATCCTAAATTATTACTCAACCCCAAACCCTGAACTCTAAACCCGAAACTTTGAACCCTAAACCTTAAACCCTAAACCCTACACCCTAAACTCTAAACCCTAAACCCTAAACCCTAAACCCTAACCCTCCAAGGTTCCCGCGGGCTTCTTCGAGGGTGTCTCCAATGCTACCTTAGGTAGCAAGGTTTACGGCCTAGGGCTTACGGTTTAGGGTCTGGTGTTTAGGGTTTAAGGTTTAGGGTTTCGTGCGCCCTTAACCGTCCATTAGCTTTTGGTTCCCCAGACCCTGTAAAGGGCTTAAGGCCTAAAAACACTCCTCCCCTTCTACATTTAACAAGTTTGTGGTGATTCTTTTTTGATATTTGTATTATAATACATTTCACACTACAAGAAGCTTGGTTAACTCGCATATGTGCATGTGAGGTCATATTTCTTCAGTGACTCGCTACTGCGAGCGAAGTCACATCATTCCATGCAAAGTTGCTTCACCAAGATGTATGTTGAAGTCTTTCCCAATGTTCACGCCCCACAGGCGCATGTTCTCGACACACATGCGAAATACGCACATGTTGCCGATTCCCAATAGTGAGGCCGCTGCACTGTTGTTCTTCTCGGACTCAGCAGCCTAAGCGAAGGGTTTCAAGTGCAGTTATATGGACTAAAAGGATGCTCCTTTTTGATGAATAAGTCACATTTAAGGTCTACTTGGCTGAGGCCACTTCCTGGCGCCATTTGGAGGCAACCCGCAGAGTCTCCGCTATGGACTCTTCGTTCTTCTGTCAGAGTTGAGGATTTTACGTTGGCTGGTCTCCCAAACCACATGGACGGTCGTCAAAATTCTATTGATTTATTGAATTCATATCGCAATATACTCTGTTAATACTTACAGTGCCTATAGAAAAATTTTGACAACCGTCAACTTGTAGATTGTGCACGTTGCGCCAGCCTGGTCGTCCTCAGGAGTCCACGGCTGGAACCACGAGGCCTTGCCACCGGCTGTACAAGCGGGTAGGTTAAGTCACATCTCCCCAATGACACGCGGCTGCGAGCGAAGTCACATCATCTCGCATAAAGTCGCATCACAGAGACATATGTTGAAGCCACTCCCCTAATGTGCACGCGCTGCACGCGGTCTTTTTTTTAAGAACTAAGCCAGATTACAGGGAGCTTTATCATCCTGCAGTGGCGTAGCACGGGTCAGCTGCACGCAGTTGTGTGAAGACATGCCCA